ACGTACACGTGTGTCTGTTTACATGCACATGTGTCTGTATTGTGTGAGGGCATTGTGTACATGTGTGTGTGTGTATATATGCATTGTGTCCGGCTGCATGTGTATACATACACGTGTGTCTATATTGTGTGACTGCATTGTGTACATGCGTGTGTGTACGTGTTTCTATGTGTGTCTTCCTGTAACGTGTGTGCATCTGTGACGAGAGGGTGGCAGGGCTCACTGGACTGCTCCTCCCAGTCTCCCCATGTCAGAGCTGACAGGCGAGAAGCCCGGGGCAGACACCACTGGAGCATGTACACGCTGAGGCCGCAGCCCGGCTGTGTGTGTGCAGCCCGGGCAGCAGTGCGTGCCGAGAGCCCCCCCCAGGGCCGGCGTGGCCCGCGGTGTGCTTTCCACCCTCGAGAGGCAGGAGAGACAGGCAGATGCAGATACCCCTGTGCCGTTCACTCCCCGGGTGCCCGTGATGGCTGGGGCTAGGTGAGGCCAGGAGCTGGGTCTCCCGTGGGGGTGCAGGGCCCCGCAGCCTCCCCAGATGCACCGGAGAGGGAGGTGGACCCAGGCCCCCAGTGTGAGACGCAGGTGTCCTTAGTGGGGCCTACCCGATGGGCGAGCGCCCACCCCAGCTGCAGTGCCTGCTGACGCCCGGGACGCGGTCAGGGCCGGCTGCCCACCTCTACTCCTGGGCTCTGTCTCACCTGACCGCTGTGTTCTTCCAACTTCCACGTGGCGGCTGGTGGGGAGCTGAGGCCCGTTGCTGGGCTGGGTTCCTCGGGTCTCACTTGTTCACTGTGGGGATCAGGGGGGCGCTGAGGGTGCGTGTGCCTGGGGCAGCGCGTCTGTCCCTCCCTGAGTGAGACTGACCGTGCTCTGTGACCGAGTCGGTGCCCGGTGCCCCCGCCGGAAGGAGGCGTTCCCTGAGTGTGATCAGTAAGCCAGGAGGGGGCGCCGGCCCCCCGAGGAACCCGGGTTTGTGCTCTGCTCCTCCACTGCATTTTTCGGGGAGCCTGCGTGCACACCTGCGGGCCCCAGGCCCCGGGCGGCCACGTGCAGCTGAGCCTCCCGGTTGCCACACACTCTGCTTTCCACCTGCCAAGGGTTAGGTGTCCCCTCGGTCGCCGGTGGGCCCGCCCCGGCGGCTCGGTCCTCAGGATGACAGCTTGCACACTGACTAGAAAATGAGCAGAAGGCCCTCAGCCTCGCCGTGAGCTCTGAGCGCACGCAGCCATTCCTCAGAGAGAATCAGCCAGGGATGGGGGCCCTGGTGGGACCCTGGCGGGGGCAGCCAGAGGAGAAGCCGCCTCCCACCTCCCTGACCCCCAGCCAGCTGGTCACCCCACTCTCCAGACCCCGGCCCCGCGTCATCCCCGTTTGAATACACAGACTTGCGTGTGGCCTCTGGGGGTGTGGTGGACAGGTGCAAAGCCACCTGGCCGTGCTCCTTGTGGCCTGGGGCTGGCTGTGTCGGTGCTGGCTGCCTCCAGAACAGGTATCCAGGCTACGCGGGGCGGGGGGCGGGGGGGGGCTCATCATCCCTCCTGCTCTGCACCCTGGGACTTGTCTGTCTGTTAATGCTGAGACACAACTCAGCTTCCACACGACTGCCTTGATGTAGACCTGGGGTCCTGGGGCTGCTCTCAGGAAGTGCGCGGGGTCCAGCCATGGCGAGGACTGGGTGGGGCGTCAGGCCAAGTGGCCGTGGCCACACGGGGTGCCGCTGGCTGGGCTGCGAGTGCACCGTGGTCTTCCTGCTCCGTCTCGGGAGCTCTCCCCTGTCCATCGGCAGCCACTGTGCCAGGACTTGGGGCGTCGGGCCGAGTGGCCATGGCCATGGCTGTGGCTGCACGGGGTGCCGCTGGCTGGGCTGCGAGCGCACCGTGGTCTTCCTGCTCCGTCTCGGGAGGTCTCCACTGTTCATCAGCAGCCACCTGCTGTGTTCGTCTCCTCTGACCCCAGGTCCATCAAGGTCAGCCCCAGAAAACGAACAAGATTGTTTCCTGGTACACAAAACTGATTATGACTTTGTATTGGCTTAATTATTGAGGAATTTGCAAAAAGACTGTTTTGTGGCCTCCATCCTAAACCCTCCATTTACTTACTTGTGTTTTCTAAATGAAGCTTTTAGTGTAGATGTATCCCTGGCTTTGATGTAGCCCATGGCTGGCTCCAGTCCAGAGAAAATTTAATTTGCCGTTGTCTTATGCAAAATACGTGTCTGTGCGTCACTAAAGCCTGCCTGGGAGAGGCCCTTCCAGGTGCTCTGTTTAATATGAAGATTTCGTCTCAGAATAAATTAAAAAAAAAAAAAAAAATGGAGCAGCCAGAGCCAGGAAAGGCAGGACAGGGTGGGGCCAGCCGTGGGCCTGGTGCGGGGACAGGCCAGTGAGCGTGCTCCTTCCCTGCGGGTGGGACGGAGGTCTTCCTTCCCTGGGGCTTTCCAGACACAGGAGCTTATCTAGAAGCACCCACCGGAGACGGCGGGGTGCTGGGTGTGCGGGTGGCTCTGGGGGTTCAGGGGGCTGGATGTAATGGTCAGCTCTGGGGGGTCGGGGGGCTGGGTGTGACAGCTCTGGAGACCGTCGGGGAGGGGCTGGGTGTGAGGGTCGGCTCGGGGGGTGGGGGGGGCAGAGGCCTGGGTGTGACGGTCAGTTCTGAGGGGGAAGGGGCGGGTGTGACGGTCGGCAGGTGCTGGTTTGCCAGCTCCCTCGTGAGCCCGCGGGAGGTGTGACACTCGGGTGACACGGAGGAGAGCGTGACTGGCCGCTGCTGGCAGGAGCGCCGCGGTGGCTGCCCCCAGGCAGCAGTGGCAGGGTCACAGGCAGCAGTGACAGAGTTCACAGCTCCCGCGTCGAGGTGCCCACAGCCCAGGGTCTCTGTGCTGGTAGCCGGGTGGTCCCTGGGGCCAGCGCCCTGAGCAGGGAGTAAGTGGCTGTCAGGGACCCTTCAGGTGGTTTTCCCAAGAGTGGGCTCTTACGGGTTGAGCAAGCCCGGCCCTCCCCAACTCGGGCCTTCTGAGTGGCGGTGGGACCACGATGCCACCTGCCTTCCGAGGCCCTCACTGGAGGCCAAACCCAGGGGACCACCGACCTCAGCCTCTCGGCTCCCAGCGCTTTGAGCTGAGGGGCCCCGGGCAGCCTGAGCGGCTTGTGCTGGGCGTTCCCCGCAATCAGGAAGGGACTCGGGGGCCAGCGTCGGGGGTCTCAGCGCCAGCGTGTGCCAGGGCAAGGCTTCTGTCTCCCAGGCTCATACCATTGCTCCCCCCTCGTAAATGGTCTCGCGCACGGCTCTGGGTGCTGCCTGCAGGGTGTAGAGGCTGGGGGGGATGAGCCGTGTCCAGTGTCCCCTGTGCTGGAGGGAGACCCGGCCACACCAGAACCTCCACAAGGGCTGCAGGGTGAGCGAGGCTGACGGGGTCTGCAGAAGGCGCCCGCCCCTCACCTGGGCCCCGCTCGCCGTGAGAACTCATCAGGCACCTGCCAAGTGAGCCGGCGCCAGGCTGCAGGTCCCCGTGCCACTGGAGAGGGCACAGCGAGTGCAGTGAGGGCTGTGGGGCAGCTGTGCGCCCGGGAAACTGGGATCCTCGAGGAACACTGGCTTCCCTGGGGACAAGGACCCTGTCACTGCCCGGTGGAAGGCTCACAGAGCCCTGTGTCACCGCCCAGGTAAAGGACAGCTGTGGGGTCACAGCCCCGTGTCACCGCAGGGGTGGGAAGGCCACCTGCTCCTCATGATTAGGTGCTCGAGTGGCCACTCCCAGCCTGGGGTGGGTGCTGGAGCCTGGTGTGGGCGTGGTCCTGCACACGGGGCCAGGTCTGTCCCTCGCCCGTTGCAGGTGTCATTGCCTTCACCAAGCAGCTCGATGAGACAAAGCACTGCACCCAGGGCCCTGCAGGCCGCAGGCTGAGCAGGTGGCAGCCAGGCTGGCTCTGTTTCTGCCGCTGGTGGTGCTGTGGGTGACCTCCGGGCTTCACTGGAGGCAGGCAGGGTGCATCTCTGCCTCTGCCCGTGTGTGGCGCCCCCTGATAATCTGTGAGGACAGTCACGTGGGATTAGCGCCCGCGCTCACATTCTAATTTTACTGCTGCCCTCTGTACTGACACTGTCCCCAGATGAGGTCCTGCTCTGAGGTCCTGGGTCCCGACCTTCCTGCAGGACCTGGGGACAGGCTCACCTGGGACAGGTGCTGGGGCCTGCCCTTCCTGCAGGACCTGGGCACGGGCTCACCTGGGACAGATGTTGGGGCCTGCCCTTCCATTCAGGATGATGTCGTAAGGGTTCACCTGGGACAGCTGTAGGGATGCTTTTGTGTTCGGAGCAGCAGAATTTAGTTGCGACAAAGAATGTCACTCTTCCCTTTTTCTTTTGAAAAGTGGGGTGTGAGCTATGGGCTATGGATGTAACCATGGTGGGTGCGTGGCCTGTGGGCTGTGGGCATGACCCTGGTGGGTGCGTGGCCCTGTGGGCTGTGGGCATGACCATGGTGGGTGCGTGGCCCTGTGGGCTGTGGGCATGACCCTGGTGGGTGCATGGCCATGTGGGCTGTGAGGCGTGACCCTGGTGGTATGTGACCCTGTGGGCTATGGGTGTGACCCTGGTAGGTGCATGGCCCTGTGGGCTATGGGTGTGACCCTGGTGGGTGCATGGCAATGTGAGCTGTGGGCATGACCCTGGTGGGTGCATGGCCATGTGGGCTGTGAGGCGTGACCTTGGTGGGTATATGACCCTGTGGGCTATGGATGTGACCCTGATGGGTGCGTGGCCCTGTGGGCTGTGGCATGACCATGGTGGGTGCGTGGCCCTGTGGGCTGTGGCATGACCATGGTGGGTGTGTGGCCCTGTGGGCTGTGGGCATGACCCTGGTGGGTGCGTGGCCCTGTGGGCTGTGAGGCGTGACCCTAGTGGGTGCGTGGCCCTATGGGCGGGGCCTCCCTTTGCACCATGTGGTTGGCTGCACCGTGGCCTCAGCCACCCAGAGCGCCTCGTGCACCCTGTCTCCACAGGCGTCTTTCCCAGCAAACCTGCAGCTCGTGCTCGTCCTCCGGCCAGCGGGGTTCTTCCAAAGGACCCTCTCTGACATCGCGTTCAGGTTCAGCCGCGATGACTTTAAGATGAAGGTGCCGGTAAGTGCCAGGGCAGCACCCAGCTAGTGTGTCCCAGACCCCTCCGTGGTGGTCAGAGTTCCTGGGGAACCAGCCCAGGACGGGGTGTGTGTGTGTGTGTGTGTGTGTGTGTTTTCTAGACCCCTCCAAGGTGGTCAAAGTTCCCAGGGAACCAGCCCTGGGCAGGGTGTGTGTGAGCACATTCCAGACCCCTCCCTGGTAGTCAGAGTTCCTGGGGAACCAGCCCGGGGCAGGGTGTGTGTGTGTGCACGTGTGCGTGTGTGTGTGTGTGTGTTCCAGACCCTTCCGCGGTGGTCAGAGTTCCTGGAGAACTAGCCCGGGGCAGGGTGTGTGCGTGTGCACGTGTGTGTGTGCGCGTGTGTGTGTGTTCCAGACCCCTCCGGGGTGGTCAGAGTTCCTGGAGAACTAGCCCGGGGCAGGGTGTGTGTGTGTGCACATGTGTGTGTGCGCGTGTGTGTGTGTTCCAGACCCCTCCGCGGTGGTCAGAGTTCCTGGAGAACTATCCCGGGGCAGGGTGTGTGTGTGTGCACGTGTGTGTGTGCGTGTGTGTGTGTGTGTTCCAGACCCCTCCGTGGTGGTCAGAGTTCCTGGAGAACTAGCCCGGGGCAGGGTGTGTGCGTGTGTGTGTGTGTGTATGTGTTCCAGACCCCTCCGCGGTGGTCATAGTTCCTGGAGAACTAGCCCGGGGCAGGGTGTGTGTGTGTGCACGTGTGTGTGTGCGCGTGTGTGTGTGTTCCAGACCCCTCTGCAGTGGTCATAGTTCCTGGAGAAGTAGCCCGGGGCAGGGTGTGTGGTGGAGAGGACTGAGGACGATGCTTGCTGAGACGGGTGTCAGGAGGGAGGGCCTTACCCCCAGCCACCCCATCATTCCTGGGTTGTTGGCCTGAGCCACGGCTCTTGGCGGCACGTGAATGATTTTATAGGACAGAGGGCAGAGTCGTCTCTACTACCATTAGATTCTAGTTGAAATTCAAATCTCACAATTTTTTTAAAAAATTTATTTACTATTTGGAAGTCAGCAGTTCAGAGAGAGTAGAGAGAAATCTCCCGTCCCCTGGTTCACTCCCCAGATGGCTGCGACGGCCAGGGCTTGGTCAGTCCGAAGCCAGGAGCTTCCTCCAGGTCTCCCACGTGGGTGCAGGGGCCCAAACACTTGGGCCGTCCTCCGCTGCTTTGCCCAGGCCATTAACAGCTGGATGGGAAGTGGAGCAGCCGGGACATGAACCGGCGCCCGTACAGGATGCCGGCACTGCAGCGGCGGCTTAACCCGCTGCACCACCACACGCGCCCCGGCCCCAGAACCTCAGTTTCCCAGTGTGCACCGTGCCTCAGGGACGCTCAGCGTCCACCTTGGACTGTGGGGTCTCGGCAGCACCCGGCCGTTGTGACAAGTCCCAGAATCGTCCGTGTCCCCTGGGAGCGCTGAGCTCGCACTGCGCACTGCCGGGGCATCGAGTGACGTGTGGCAGGACACCACAGCGCTTTGTGCTGCCTCTGGGCCGTGCTTCCTAGCCTGCCTGGTAGCCCAGAGCAGAGGCCCTGTTTTATCTGGAACTCACGGCTGGGCCGACCACAAAAGAGCCAACAGAGCTGGAAAGCAGGAGACAAGCAGGGTGGGTGGGGACAAGCAGGGTGGGCGGGCCCCTCGGCCTCGGCAGCCCCCGCTTCCCTGTCAGGCAGAGCCTCTCAGGAGCCGTCTGCCACTCTCCCGGACGGTGGCCTGGCGCGGCCACGCTGTGCTCTCTGACGATGGCCCCGCCGCGGTCAGCACCAGCAGTTCGCACGCTGAGGCCTACCAGGGGCAGGCACAAGGCCCATCCAGTGCCACCACTGCGGGTCCCCACCCTCACCCGGTGACGTTCCCTGTAGTGTGCACGCAGTGTCACCTGGTGCATGTACCCTTGCTCAAGGGGCAGCCGAGTCGCCAAGGGCCAGAGGAAGGGCGGGCCCGGGTCTGCTCGAGTCCCCCTGAGGTCATCATGACCTCCCCCCAGGTCATCATGCTGGGCTCAGTGCCAGAACTGCATGGCTACATCGACAAGTCGCAGCTGACCGAGGACCTCGGGGGGACCCTGGACTACTGCCACTCCCGGTGGCTGTGCCACCGCACGGTGAGCCCACCCTTGCCTTTCCCAGAGTGTGCGGGCTCTCAGCGACCTGCTTCCCCGAGAGTGAGGAGATGGTCTTGCAAGACTTGGTCATCGGGAAGCCGTGACGCGGGAGTGGCTCGCCCCAGGCCCGCAGGCCAGCACCCGCTCCCCGAGGGAGAGGGAGGATGACGGGGAGACGCCGTGGCCGTGACGTGGGCCTGCTGTCAGGAGCATGCGGGTGCCGTGTGCCTGCAGCCCTGTGACCCGCACTCCCCGCCCCTCCCCAAGGCCATCGAAAGCTTTGCCCTCATGGTGAAGCAGACAGCTCAGAGGCTGCAGTCCTTCGGGACGGAGCTGGCCGAGACTGAGCTGCCCAACGACGTCCAGTCGACGGGCTCAGTGCTGCGCGCACACACAGAGAAGAAGGACAAAGCCAAGGTAAGCGCAGCTTGCGCAGGGGCTGAGGCGGGGTGCCCATGGGGGTGGGGGGCGGCCGCAGGCGTGGCCAGGCCGGGGATCCAGGCGGGAGCCTTCGGACGCGGCCTCCCTGCACAGAACAGGACGCGTCCCCTCCGTGGCGGCTCCATGACGCATACTCCCAGGCCGGCCTGGTCCCAGTGCTCCGGGTGCACCGTCAGCGTCTTCCCCTGTGTGCTGTGCTCTCTGGCACGGGGCGGGCAGTGCAGTGCCGGCCGCCTCCCCCGTGTGTCGGGCGCAGGCGTGCTCAGGCGCAGCACCGTCGGGGGTACCCGTCTCCTGAGGAGCAGGTGCGCCCGGCAGCCTGCACGCTGCCAGCCTCGGGAGAGTCAGCGCTGAGCCGGGTCTGCCGCGCGGCCGCTCGCTCCCTCAGAGGAGCCTTTGTTCTGCCTGGCGAGGCTGGCGGCGGCAGCAGGGACACGGAGGAGGCCTGGTTTCCGGTTACTCTCCCACCTCGTCCTGTAACCCTAGCTCTGCCCCGTGCTGCACGGCTGCATGGCTCCTCTTTCCAGCGCGGTGTGCGGTGCAGCTTGCACGGAGGAGCTGGTCCCATGCCCACGGGGTGGGTCCCCGCGCCATCCCTGAGGCCTGCGCCTGGCCGGCCACGGCAGCAGTGTGAGCCTGGACCTCCGAGCCTGCGCCCGGCCAGCCACGGCAGCGGTGCAAGCCTCTGCCCCCAAGGCCTGCGCCCGGCCGGCCACGGCAGTGGTATGTGCCTCTGTCCCTGAGCCTGCGCCCGCCGGCCAGACAGCGGTACGAGCCTGGGCCCCCGAGCCTGCGCCCAGCCGGCCACGACAACAGTACTAGCCTGGGCCCCCGAGCCTGCGCCCGCCGGCCACAGCAGCGGTGCGAGCCTCTGCCGTCTCTGCAGGGGGATCTGCAGTTGGCCCTGAAGGAGGGGCACAGCATCCTGGAGAGCATCCGGGAGCCACTGGCCGCGGCCGCGGCTCACAGTGTGAACCAGGACCAGCTGGACAACCAGGCCACCGTGCAGAGGTGAGTGGAGCCGTCCCGCCCGGGCTCTGGCCGCGGCCCAGGGAGTGCTGGAGACGTGGCGGCCACAGGGACCCAGCTGCCTGAGCCGTCGCTGCTGCTTTCCGGGGCATCGGCAGGAAGCTAGAATGGGGGCAGAGCTGGCACTCAACCCCAGGCACTCGGCTATGGGATGCGGGTGCCCACACGGCACCTTCACGCCTGCACCCACGCCCACAGGGCGCCCTGGGCCTCTGCCAGTGGCAGCGTCACGTTTCCACGGTGACAGGATGCGTGTCGTCCCAGGTGTCCCGCCTTGCAGCAGAGCACAGGGCGCCCTGCCTGGCAGGTTAATGCAGCCAGCACCTCACGGCACCGCCCCCACCATGTGGGAGCCACACTGCCAGCGGGCAGGGGCCACCACCCACCCTCGCTGTGAGGACGCAGGCACAGGCAACTGTGATGGACAGCCCAGGTCAGACACTGGGGCCAATCCTCTTGAGGCTGTCCTGGCTGTCTACCAGCTGTGCCACACAGAGCCAGGCCCGGGAGGCCCACGGTGGGGCCCATGTGGGTGGGGGGTGGGGTGCTGGGACCTTGCAGAGGATGTCCGCTTCCCAGGGCGGGAAGGAGAGTGAAGCCGGCGTTCAGTGCAGCACCCAGGGCTGAGGACCCCCACACCCGACCCCTAGCACCCACCACCCTGAACTGAAGGGGCGGGCAGTTACGGCCACAGCACGAGGGCGCGAGCTCCGCTGTGTGATGCGGCGGGGACAGCGCGCTGGTGCTGGAGGGCACCTGCAGTTTTGTGGGAACCGCCCCCCAACGCGGTGGGGCTCCCGGCTCCACTGTGAGCACGGACGAATGGGGCACGGCAAAGCTTGCGGGGAGCAGACACGGGGGGACCTGTGTGGCCCCGACCCACGCGTGCCTGCGTGCCCGCGCCCTGCGGCGTCTCCTCCCAGGCTCCTGGCACAGCTGAACGAGACCGAGGCGGCCTTTGACGAGTTTTGGGCAAAGCATCAGCAGAAGCTGGAGCAGTGCCTGCAGCTGCGGCACTTTGAGCAGGGATTCCGCGAGGTGAGCGGCAGCACGGGGCGGGGCGCGCACCGGACAGGGCCGGCCCCGGGCGCAGCGGGGACGGCGGCCAGGCGTGTGCCCCCCGAGAGCTGCACCAGGCGCCCGTGCCGGTCTCTACCGCCGATGCCTGCCTCACAAGGCGTAGCTGTGTCACACACACGGGGTCGGAGGCTGGCTCGGCCACACGTGCTTCCTTCCACAGTCTGTGAACCCTCGCATGGGCCACCTGCCTTCCCCTACACGTACCGTGGGCCTGCCACGGCTTGGGGCTCAGCAGGAGCGCTCACCGTCCTGCCTTGGGCTCGGTGGCCGTGGCACAGGCACGGGGAGGGGGCACTGGGGCGGCCTGCCCGAAGTTGGATACCGTGTACCATACATCCTGGGCATCCGGCCCCGGTACCGTGCACCCAGTCTGTCCTGGGAGGCTCAGCGGCCGGGGACGGCTCCAAGCCAGCAGGGAGGAGGCACTGGCACCTGTGTGTGGCTGAGCAGGGCCAGCAGCGCTCAGGAGACACAGGGACCCCAGCTCCGCCCTCCAGGCCTCATGGTCCCTGGAGTGCACGACAGTGGCCCTCTGTGGGTGGCATGGGGCGTGGCACAGTTGAGCACAGCTGGGGGTGACGCCCAGGGCTGTGTTGGGGACACCAGGGCCGCCCGTGCGTCTCCCGGCCCAGCCCTGGATGTGAGCTGCCACCTGTGGGAGTGGCGGACGATGCCACCCAAGCACGTGCAGACGGGACCTGGCGGGGCGGTGGCGCAGGCTCGTTCTTAAATGCAGTGCCTGATTTCCAGGCCACGCAGACTCCCGTGCACCTGTCACGTACCTCGGAGGCCCCGGATGCCCGTGCTGCCTTCTACACCAGGTGTCGTGTTCAGGAGCTTGGTGGGCCACCCTCGTGTGCTGAGCCATGCCCTGGGCTCGCTGGGTGGCTCCCGGCTGTGGTCCCTTCCTCGGGGGAAGGGGCCGTCTTGATCGGGTGTGATGTTGGACTAAGTAGCTTCCTAAAACGAAGGCACAGTCCCCCTGCTCTTCCGCTCTCTGGAAGCAGCTGTGCGGCTGGGCTCGTTCCTGTGTACACGTCTGGGAGGCTGATGCAGTAAAGCCACCTGGGGCTGGAGACTCCCCGTCGGGACTTTTCCCTTATGACTTCCTGTCCTTGACAGCCAGGCTTTCGAGATGCACTTCTCAGGCGTGGGCTCTGCGTGCGCAGATTGGTTTACAGTTTTTTCCGCTGAGAGGCAGAGAGACAAAGGCAGACCGATAGAGCTCTCATCCGTGGTTCACTCCCCGAATGCCCGAACAGCTGGCGCTCCGTCCAGGCCTCCCTCCCGGGCGGCAGGAACCCAGCTGCTGGTGCTGTCACCCGCTGCCCAGTAGGAAGCCTGGACTCAGGGCCGCAGCCGGGAAGGGACCAGGCAGTCGGATGCGGCACACGGGCGTCTTAACTGTCCGGCTAGGCATGGTTCCCTTTTGGGGGCCCACGTCTGTGGGGTCTGCTGCTCCGTCCGCTCACGCCTGCTTGCTTTGTGCATCTTGCTGGAGACCCCCTCTGGGCCCCTCCACCCTGCATCCCTGACACTGCTTCTCCACCAGGTCACAGCCACCCTGGACGCCGTGACCCACAAGATGGCGACCTTCACGGATGTCGGCAACAGCCTGGCGCACGTGGAGCACCTGCTGAAGGACCTCGCCAACTTTGAGGAGAAGTCCCGAGTAAGGCCGGGGCGGGGACGGCGTCCCCCAGGGACACCCGGGCGGGGGAGGTGGGGTGTGGGCACTGCCTGGCCTCAGGGCCCTGCCTTCTCGGCATTGCCACAGTGCTGGCTTGGCCGTGGCTCTGCTCTGGACAGCGAGGGCTGGCACCAGTACCTGTGCCATCCCCGCCCCCGACGTGCAGCTGCACCTCGGCTGGGGCTCCCTGTTGGCCTCCACCAGACGGGAGCCTGAGCCTCTCCTGGGGACGCCCTCGTCCCGCAGGCGGCTGTGGACCGCGCCCGCGCCCTGGCGCTGGAGGGCGGCCGGCTCATCGAGCACAGGCACTACGCCGTGGACTCCATCCTGCCCAAGTGCCAGGAGCTGCGGCACCTGTGCGACCAGTTTGCCTCGGAGATCGGGAGGAGGCGGGCGCTGCTGAACAAGTCCCTGGAGCTGCACGGCCTGCTGGAGACGGTGCGTAGCCCCTGCCCGGGCGCCCCCTTCCTGCCGCCCCGCAGTGAATGGGCCGCCTCCCCTCCGTGCACGTGAGGGCCCGGCCCGGTGTGACGAGTCTGCAGCGAGCAGCCGGGACGTCGGCACAGGCACGGTGCGGGCAGCTCCTCATGGCGCCTCCCGTTGCAGACCATGAGGTGGTGCGACGAGGGCATCTTCCTGCTGGCCTCGCAGCCGGTGGACAAGTGCCAGTCCCAGGACGGGGCCGAGGCGGCGCTCCAGGAGATCGAGAAGTTCCTGGAGACCGGCACGGAAAACAAGCTGCAGGAGCTCAGTGCCATCTACAAGGAGTACGAGGCCATCCTCAACCAAGACCTGATGGTAACGGCGCTGCCGGGCGGCCCCCTCCCTCCGGGCGCCCTCAGAGCCGGCGTGGGCTTGCGCCCCGGCTTGTGGGTGCTGGAGCGGGCTGACGCCACCCTCGGACCCGTGCTCCCTGCAGGCCCACGTGCAGAAGGTCTTGCAGAAGCAGGCGAGCACGCAGGAGATGTTCCACCGCCGGCAGGCCAGCCTGAAGAAGCTGGCGGCCAGGCAGACGCGGCCCGTGCAGCCCGTGGCCCCCAGACCCGAGGCACTGGCCAAGTCCTCCTGCCCTGCCCCAGGTGTGTGCCCCCAGGTGTCCAGGTGTGCGCCCCCAGGTGTGTGCCCCCCAGGTGTGTGTGCCCCCAAGCTGTGTGCCCCTCCCCAGGTGTGCCCCTCCCCAGGTGTGTGCCCCTCCCCAGGTGTGTGTGCCCCCCAGGTGTGTGCCCCCAGGTGTCCAGGTGTGCGCCCCCAGGTGTGTGCCCCCCAGGTGTGTGTGCTCGTCCCCAGGTGTGTGCCCCTCCCCAGGTGTGTGTGCCCCCAGGTGTGTGCCCTTCCCAGGTGTGTGCCCCTCCCCAGGTGTGTGTGCCCCCCAGGTGTGTGTTCCCCCCAGGTGTGTGCCCCTCCCCAGGTGTGCCCCTCCCCAGGTGTGTGTGTGCCCCCCAGGTGTGTGTGCCCCTCCCAGGTGTGTGTGCCCCTCCCAGGTGTGTGTGCCCCCAGGCTGTGTGCCCCCACCGGCTGTGTGCCCTGCCAGAGCTCCGGGGCCCTGGGCTCCGTGCATCGCAGGGGCCACACACACTTCTATGGATGCACTTCTCCCCTCCACCTGCCCCAGCTCAGGGGACCCCGTGTGTGACCAGGCCCAGCAGCCGTGCGTCCATCTCTGTAAATAACACGTGCAGGAGCCGGTGGCCTTGACGACGCTGAGATGAGCCGTTCCCGGCGAGCCTGTGTGGCTGCAGAGCTGGCAGCATGCCGGGAGCCCCCCGATGTTCCTCCCCCTGCACCAACCCCACCCAGAGTGCGCCCTCACGCCTGCGTCCCAGGCAGCTGTGCTGCCCCCGCCTCCGGGCCATGCTTCTGCAGGCCACGTGGGCCACGGCGCCACTTCCTGGGTTTTGCCCCCGTCACCTCCCTGGCCCCCTCCTCCCTCAGTCGGACTTGGGCATGCTGGCTTCCAAGCTCTGGCAAATTCTGGCACCGGTTCCCTCGAGCCCACCAGAGGCTGGCCGGCCCTCGGCACACTGGGCCCAGGAGAGCGCTTTCTGACCTGTGTGGGGGAGCAGCGGGGCTGTCCTGGGGCGGGGCTGCCCTGGCCACCATCACCCGTGTTTGCTGGCACAGCCCACACTGTCCTGCCCCCTCCCCTCCATAGGCGGCTGGCGTGGTCCAGAGAGCTCCAGCCCCGAGGGTGGCCCCCTGCGGAGAGGGCCCTACCGGAGGGCCAAGGTGAGGCTGCAGCGGCCCCGCCTCGCCCATGGTGGACGTGGGGGGGGCCTGGCTGGTTCTCTGTGACCACCTCCTGGGTCCCTGGGCCTCCAAGGATGTCCACGCTCCTCTTCCCCTCGTCCCTGTGGGACCCACACTGTCCCCACGTGGGATGTGGGGCTGGGCTCTGGCCCGAAGCCCCTTCCTGGGGTAGAGGCTGACCTGTCCTTGCGTCCCCAGAGTGAAGTGAGTGAGAGCCGGCAGGGCCGCGGCAGCTGCACGGGGGATGAGGAGGAGAGCCTGGCCGTGCTGCGCAGGTGGGCGCTGGGGTGGCCTGCACAGCAGGGACACACACTGGTGGGGTGTGCACCATATAGGCTGGACATACGTGTGGGTGTTGTGGGGTGTGTGCCGTGTGGGCAGGGACACGCATGTGGGTGTAGTGGGATGTGCACCGTGTGGGCAGGGACACACGTGTGTGTGTTGTGGGATGTGCATCATGTAGACTGGGACACACGTGTGGGTGTTGTGGGATGTGCACCGTGTGGGCAGGGACACACGTGTGGGTATTGTGGGATGTGCACCGTGTGGGCAGGGACACACGTGTGGGTGTTGTGGGATGTGCATCATGTAGACTGGGACACACATGTGGGTGTTGTGGGATGTGCATCATGTAGACTGGGACACACGTGTGGGTGTTGTGGGATGTGCACCGTGTGGGCAGGGACACACGTGTGGGTATTGTGGGATGTGCACCGTGTGGGCAGGGACACACGTGTGGGTGTTGTGGGATGTGCACCATGTGGGCAGGGACACATGTGTGGGTGTTGTGGGATGTGCACCGTGTGGGCAGGGACACACGTGTGGGTGTTGTGGGATGTGCACCGTGTGGGCAGGGACACACGTGTGGGTGTTGTGGGATGTGCACCGTGTGGGCAGGGACACACGTGTGGGTGTTGTGGGATGTGCACCGTGTGGGCAGGGACACACATGTGGGTGTAGTGGGATGTGCACCGTGTGGGCAGGGACACACGTGTGGGTGTTGTGGGATGTGCACCGTGTGGGCAGGGACACACTTGTGGGTGTTGTGGGGTATGCAGTGTGTGGGCAGGGACACACGTGTGGGTGTTGTGGGATGTGCACTGTGTGGGCAAGAGCAGACGGGAACGTGGAGGTCATGACCCCTCCCGGGAACTGAAGGGTGGGGGCGGCTGCGGGGATGCTGAGCTGGCTGAGGAGGGAGCCAGAGGGAGGTTGGGGGGCTCCATGGAGCCTGGGGCGGGGTCTGGGCCGGGGACAGGCAGGCCGAGCAGTGGAGAGGGGTGCACCTGCCAGGTGGCCTCGGTGAGACTCGTGCCGCTCCCCTGCACCCCAGGCACGTGATGAATGAGCTGCTGGACACGGAGCGCGCCTACGTGGAGGAGCTGCTGTGCGTCCTGGAGGTGGGGCTGGACACCGGGTGCCGGGGAGAGGCGGGGACACGCATGTCAGGGGCAGGACAGGGCGGATGTGCAGGCCTAGTGCCCTTAGCCACGCCCCCTGTGGTGGGCACGTGTGCCACACGTGTCCCAGCGATCACCTGCCCACTTCCCCCTGGTACACACGAGGGGATCTGACACTGCTGTGGTGGGCACGTGTGCCACACGTGTCCCAGCGATCACCTGCCCACTTCCCCGTGGTACACGCGAGGGGATCTGACACTGCTGTGGTGGGCACGTGTGCCACACGTGTCCCAGCAATCACCTGCCCACTTCCCCCTGGTACACACGAGGGGATCTGACACTGCTGTGGTGGGCGTGTGCCACACGTGTCCCAGCGATCACCTGCCCACTTCCCCGTGGTACACACGAGGGGATCTGACCCAGCGCCAGCATGCCAGCACCTGGCGCTCTGTGGCAGGGTCAGCGACCTCGGCCCCCCGCAGGGCTACGCGGCGGAGATGGAGAACCCCCTGATGGCGCACCTGCTCTCTCCCGGCCTGCTGAGCAAGAAGGGCGTTCTGTTTGGGAACATGGAGGAGATCTATCACTTCCACAACAGGTGAGGCCGCCCTGGCCGCCCCGGGCCCGCGTGGATCTCTGCAGAGGGTGGAGGGCGCGTCCTCGGGCACCTTGCTGAATTAAACAGTCCACCTGCAGCAGGTGGGGGCACAGACCCCCCCCCCCGGAGCGGCGCAGCCCTGCTCCCCTCCCCCTGATCTGCAGGGGAGCGTGGGGCACCGTGGGAGACCCCAAAGCCTCACCACCCGGCAGCACCCGCGCGGCGCCCAGGGCCACTCCTGAGGGACGGCGACCGGAGGCACCGCCCGTGTCGGCCTCCTGGGGCCACCGGAGACCATGTGCATCGGCTCCCTGTAACGCACGGGAGTGCTGGGCGAGAGGAGCGCGGGCGCACACTGTCCTGAGCCCCAGGGAGCAGGCGGGAGGACATGGCCTGTGCCCTGAGAGAGGCGGTGCGGGGGGGGCCCGGTCCTTGCTGCCTGGGGAGCAGCGGGAGCTGGGCTCCCCACCCGTCGTCACTGTCTCTCTCTGTTCAGAGGGGCAGCAGGTCCTCCGCCGGGGAGCCAGTCCTCGGGCTGGGGGAGGGGAGCACAGCGCCCTGCCTGTACCCTGCCCAGTGTTGTCTCAGGGGCAGGTGCCAGGCAGAAGCGTGAGGGGCACAGCCCCATCCGGGAGCTGGGTGCTGCACAGGGAGGGCCCCTGGGCACGGTCCCCAGGGGCCCCTGACCGTGCGCCCTGGCCTGGGCTGGCAGGAAGCCGCCCCGCCCCCCACAGGAACGCCTGCGCCCCCAGTGAGGCACGGCCAGCCCGGGGTCAGCCGTGCTGTGGCCGTGCCCGGGAGCCTGGGTGTGGGCCGCGGGGTCCCGAGGCCGGGGCGCTGGCCGCCCCTGGTGAGCGTGGAGGGCCCTGGGTGGCTGCCGCCTCACGGAACCTCGCTTGCCCAGGATATTCCTGAGGGAGCTGGAGAGCTACACCGACTGCCCGGAGCTGGTCGGGAGGTGCTTCCTGGAGAGGGTGAGTGTGGGCGCGCCTGTCCTGTGTCACTGTCGCGGCTGTCACTTTCCTCCCGAGTGCAGGGGCCCCCGTGTGGCTGAGACGCAGGGGCCAAGGGAACAGCGCTTTTTCAGTTCCACTGAGAGAGGAAACAATACAAAACTGGACAGTGGGAGTCCTGGGGGCCCTGAGCTGGCGGCCGCGGGCCCCGGGCCCTGTGTGCCTCAGCCGCTGGCCTGAGCCCCGTTTTCTTCTCCAAGACGGCGGGGCCGCCGCGGCCGTGAGGGGCTGGTGGCGGGGCTTGGGGAGCAGGAAGGGCCGGGGGGCAGGTCCTCCCCTGCCATCCCACGGGAGCCCGTCACGCTGCGCCACGCGACGTGGAAAAGGCAGCTCCCCACAGCAGGAAGCAGAGTGGTGTGTGTGGAGTGCGGGCCTGGAGGCTGAGACGCTGGTGGCAGCGTCTGTGTCCACTCCGGGGGCCGCTTGGTCATGAGTGGGGTCCTCAGCGGCGGCGGCAGCAGCAGTGGGGGCTCCTGGAAGAGGCTCAGAGGCTCAGGTTCTTGGGCCGGCCCGGCAGAGCCACTGGCCGGTGGTGGCTGGCAGGGGTGGCCACGCCCCACGTGGGCAGCACGCGGGGCTGCCCTGGGAGCTGTCTCGCAGTGGGAGGTCTGTGTGGCGCCCTGGGCAGCAGCCTTTTGTCCCAAGGCAGAAAGCCAACTCGGCCAAGCTTTCCCGAGACCAAGGCCAGAGCTGCAAGGACTCCGTGCAAGGAGGGGCGGGTGCAGGAGATACAGCCTGCCCTGCTATTCCCGCTGGGGACGGCCGCGTCCCCGAGACCTCTGTGCCCCATGACCACTGGTTCCTGGCAGGTGCCTGGGAGCCGTGGCCTCACGCAGGGCTCAGGCGTGTTGGCCCGGTACCTGGTGTTGGTTTCACAGGAGACCCTGGCCATGCTGTCACGTAGACAGCCCTGCAGGCCACCGTGGAGGGAGCAGCCCCGCAGGACTCACGGTCACGCCTGCCTGTGCTGTGCTCGGCCATTCGGGTGGCCGGGCAGGGCCTGCACACGCGTGGAGCCGACAGCAGGCGGTCTGTCCCCCGTGCAGATGGAGGAGTTCCAGATCTACGAGAAGTACTGCCAGAACAAGCCGCGCTCCGAGAGCCTGTGGCGACAGTGCTCCGACTGCCCCTTCTTCCAGGTAGGCCCCCGCCCCGCCCCGCGCCCCCACACGGGCCCAGGCCTGAAACCACGGGCCGACGGCTCTCTGCGGCCCCAGGAGTGCCAGAGGAAGCTGGACCACAAGCTGAGCCTGGACTCCTACCTGCTGAAGCCCGTGCAGAGGGTCACCAAGTACCAGCTGCTGCTGAAGGTGAGTCCCCCCGACCTGCCCGCCCAGGGGCCTCGCCTGGACCAGGCCACGCCCCAGGCCTCAGAGCCCGTTAGGCCGGAGCCCCGCTGTGCGCGGGGTGGTGCAGGGGAGGGGACATGCCCTGTGCACCTGCTCTGGTGGCGGGGCCAGCCTGGCTGCCCACCCCGGCCAGGGTCACAGTGGCTGGCGGGAGCCCCTCCGAGCACACAGCTCCCGATCTGCGGCGTCTGTCTGGCCTGTCTCCTGGTTTTGGGGCGCTGCTGGGCCGGCGGGGCCGTGTCCTGAGACCAGGGGTGGGGGGCCACAGTGGGCAGGCGTGGGGCGCTGTGCAGAGGCCCGCCCAGGGTCTGCGCCTGCTGTGTGCGGGAGCCTGGGCAGCTGCCTGGAGCGTGCCGTGCCCACCACACCGTGCGCCCGCCCGCCCGCCCGCCCAGGAGATGCTGAAGTACAGCAAGCACTGCGAGGGCGCCGAGGACCTGCAGGAGGCGCTCAGCTCCATCCTGGGCATCCTCAAGGCCGTCAACGACTCCATGCACCTCATCGCCATCACCGGCTACGACGTAAGCCCGCGCCGAGGCTGCGCGCCGGGTCTGGGTCAGCAGGTCTGGGCGGGGCTCGGGGCCGGAGGCCCCTGGTCAGGCGGGCCGCACGGGTGCCTCCCCTCCCTAAGGCCTGCCTCCGCGCAGCCTCCACGCTCGCCTTGGCCGCCTTTGTAATTAACGTTGCGATGTGGGTGAGGGCGTCAGCAGTCCAAGTGAAGACCAGGGAAGCACAGGGCTCCCACACTGACGCCGTCTGTGTCCACGTCTCGTGCTGTGTGACCGCCCTGCTGGCCACACTGACCAAAGTCCCTGCCCAGAGGCGCGAGGAGACCCCGGACCGCCCTAGGGGTCCCCTGTGCGTCCTCGGCCCCGCCCCTGCCCGGGAGGCCCCGCCCCCTGCAGTCTGGTGGCGTGCTGGGGGGGGCTGACGCGGCCGCCGGTTCCAGGGCAACCTCAGCGAGCTGGGCAGGCTGCTGATGCAAGGCTCGTTCAGCGTGTGGACCGACCACAAGCGGGGCCACACCAAGGTCAAGGAGCTGGCACGGTTCAAGCCCATGCAGCGCCACCTGTTCCTGCACGAGAAGGCCGTGCTCTTCTGCAAGAAGCGGGAGGAGAACGGGGAGGGCTACGAGAAGGCCCCGTCCTACAGCTACAAGCAGTCCTTGAACGTGAGCGCGAACCCGGCGGGGTCTGCCCCTCGGCCCGGCCCCGGCCCCGGCTGCCGCGCTCACCCGCCCGCCCTGTGCTGGCAGATGGCCGCCGTCGGCATCACCGAGAACGTGAAGGGCGACAGCAAGAAGTTCGAGATCTGGTACAACGCCCGCGAGGAGGTGTACATCGTGCAGGTAGGAGGGCGGAGGCGGGCCCCGTGCAGTCTGAGGGCGGAGGCGGACCCCTGGAGCCCGGGGTGCAGCCGAGAGGAGGCTGCGTCGGGACTGAGCGCTCAGCGCCCGGCCTTGCTCTGGGCAGGCGCCGACGCCTGAGATCAAGGCGGCGTGGGTGGCGGAGATCCGGAAGGTGCTGACCAGCCAGCTGCAGGCTTGCAGAGGTGAGGCCGCCTGTGCCCGCCCCCAGCCTTCACGGGAGCACCACAGGGTGCGCAGGGTGCTCGGGCAGGGACGCTGGGCCGTCGTGGTGAGCCCTGCGTGCTGTTGTCCCCCCCAGAGGCCAGCCAGCACCGGGCGCTGGAGCAGTCCCAGAGCCTGCCTCTGCCCGCGCCGGCCAGCACCAGGTGAGCACGCTGTCCCCAGCAGGGCCTTCCCTGCAGCCCCGCCCGTGGCCCGGCCGCACCGCTTCCTGTCGCTTCCTGAAGGGGCCTGGGGGCTCCAGGCTGAAGCGGGACTTGAGGCCGCCGCCAGCAGGGGGCGCACCTGTCGGGCTGGGCCTGCACGTGCTTCCTTGTAGCTCTCCTGCCCATTTTCCTGTTCTTTTTCTCCTTTTCTTCATGCTTTGTCAGCCACCATTTTTTTTTCCAGTTAATTTATTTAAAAGGCAGATTGACAGAGAGGAGATACAGAGACCTGTTCCATCTGCTGGTTCATTCCACAAATGGCCGTAACGGCCTGTACTGGAGCCAGGAGCTTCCTCTGGGTCTCCCCGCCGGGTGCAGGGGCCCCAGCACGTGGGCCATCTTCCACTGCTTTCCCAGGTGCACCGGAAGTGGAGCAGCCGGGACTTGAACTGGCGCCCCTGTGTGCTGGCGCTGCAGGCTGTGGGCCTGACCCACTGCGCCGCCCTGTCGGCCGCCTCTAGTCACTGCAGCAGAGCAGGTGTCCTCGTGACAGATGGAACCCACCCCCACCCCCACCCCCGGCCACCAGAGACCTCTGTTTCCTAGGAAGGGCTTTGCTCTCCCGCCGCGGCCGCTCGGGCTCAGTGGGGGGAACCCAGGACGCCGTGGGGATGGGCTGGGGGCCCGCAGCTGTCTGAGCCTCAGACCCCTTTTCTTTCTCCATGTGTGTGATGCCGTCAGTCCCTCGAGAGGGAGCACGAAAAACGTCAAAAAGCTGGAAGAACGGAAGACCGACCCCCTGAGCCTGGAGGGCTACGTGGGCTCCTCACTGCCCAAGGCCCCCGAGAAGGGCCAAGGTGGGTGTCTGGAGCAGAGCCCCCCCCCCCCCCGCCCCAGCATGCAGGGACCCTCAGCAGAGCTCTGGCGTCCCCTCAAGGCCAGAGAGGTAACGGCTCAGCCACAGCGCGTGCTCCCTGTGGTGCGCGGCAGTGTCCATCCTCAGCCCGTGCTGGCCACTCAAGCGTACACCCGGGGGCAGCCCGGCTCCGTCTGGGCGCCCAGAGCCATCTTTTAGGGGTGCTGTGGCCTTGAACACCTGTAGGCCAGCCTCTTGGATCCAGAGGCTGCACCGAACCGGCCACCTCCTCTCCGTCCCCCCAGGCCGAGGGCCCTCTTCTGCCAGCTGTGCTGGGCGTTGGCAGTGGGCAGGGCTGCTGACCAGCACCCTGGGCAGAAAGCAGGCTGAGGAAGGCCGGCACCAGCCCCAGAGTGCTCAGGCCCCGGCCCTGTTGTCCTTTTGTAAAACTGAGACTGGCCTTGGACTTGAAACAGACCAACCGTCAGCTCTGGTAGTGCACACCTGGAGGCGGCCCCCAGCCCCGCCCCGGACCCCTGGGCCATCGCCACCTGCTCACAGAAGCCCTCGCCCGGCCCCAGCATCTGTCACTGGGCCGCCGCCTGCTCTCAGCACTGTCTCCTCTCTCTCCCCCTCCCACTTTCCCTCTCCCCCCACCCCTTTCTGCCCCTCTCCCCCCCCCCCCCCGCGCGCTCTCCCTCCTCCCCCACCCCTTCTCCCCTTCCCCTCTACCTCCCCCTCCCCCTTCTTCCTTTCTTCCCCTCCCCTCTCCCCTTCTCTCCCCCTCCCCCTCTCAATCTCCCCCCTCCCTCCCCCTCCCCTGTCTGTGCTTCTTCCTCCCCCTGCAGCTTCTCCCACCAGTCCTGACAAAAAAGCTAAGCGACATGAAGTAAAGAGCGACCCAACTCCTTTTGGTCTGCGAGGTAGAGTGAGCCTGGCGCGGGCGGACCCCGCGCACCCCGGCCGCGCGTCACGGGGTGAGGCCGGCAGTCGGGAGGCAGCAGCGGCCCAGGCGGAGCTGCGCTGCTGGGCCAGGCGTGGGCTGGGTGTGTGAGCTTTCCTGGTGTGCGGCGGCACGGGTGCCACCTGAACAGGGTCCCCACCGCGGCCCCAGGCAAGCACCCTGCCAACCCCGCCGTGTCCTGGCCACTCACGGGAGCTCCACGGCCGCAGGCTTCCCTGTCCTCCGCACGGCAGCCACGCGGGCTCTCGCTGGCCCTCGGTGCCTCTCGCTGTCCGGCCGCGCGGAGGTTTCCGTTCCGACCCTCCTGGCCGGCAGCGCTGCCGCCGCCTCTTCCTGCCCCGCTGTCCTCAGTGTGGCTTCTGCGTGGCCAGAGGCCCCCGAGCGGTGCTCAGTGCCGAGCGGGCTGTAAGCAGCAGCGGGGCCTTGCCCACTGCGGCGCCGCACCCTGCCGTGCACACGCTCTCGGGGGAGGACACGGGCCTGTGGTTTGCAACTGGAAACTCGCCACTGCCCAGTTCCTGCAGACGCCGGCCACAGCTGGCTGCTGGGCCGTCCACCTGCCCCTCAGTCACCCCAGAGGGCTCAGGTGTAGCCAGGACCTGGCAGGGTGGGGCTCAGCCCGTGCAGGGGCCATGACCTTGGCCAGCCTAGGGCCCCGTGGGCTTATGGGAATGCCCGGGCACTGCCTCGCACAGCTTCCCCTGTCTTTCTTGGGCGTTGCCAGCAGGGGGCACTGTATCTCGGTGCGGCTGGGGTGCCGCGCGCCGATTTTCCCGGCTGGCGTGTGCTGGCCGCGTCGTCTGAGCGCACAGCTGTGTTGAGCCCCACGGGAGTGAGCTCCCGCGGTCATTGTCCTCGGCACTGACGGGGGTTTGCTCAGCGTCAGAGTCCCCCGGCCACTCCCTCGGGGCTGTAATGCGGTCGGCGTTTGGGTTTCGGTCCTCGTGTGCCAACCCGGCTGGGTGGGCTGCAGCCAGGAAACCTGGCCAGAGGCGCGACGTTGCAGCCAGGCAGCGCCTGGGGCAGGCCCTCAGGGGAGAGGCTGCCTTGCAGGCCCGGTTTGCTGGGTGTCCAGTGTCTGGCTCTTACTGAAACCTCTTCACCCTCAGGGCATCGGCTCTGGGGCTCAGAGCAGGCGGGCGACAGCTCCCCAACCCGGGCTGGCCCAGCTGCTGCAGAGCCCCGCCCCCACGGGACCTACGGGGTGGGTGGCAGCTAGGCAGACCCTCGCAGGTGCGAGGCCGCTCCTCACTGGGGTCTGCTCCTCTCGCAGGCTGGAGCAAAACCTCGCACTCGCTGGAGGCCCCCGAGGACGACGGCGGCTGGTCAAGTGCCGAGGAGCTGGTGAACTCGTCTGACGCGGAGGACGACGGGGGCCTGGGTCCCCGGAAGCTGGTAACTCCGGCCGCCCCGAGACGGGGTCCCGATGGGCGCCGCTCAGCCCGGGCCGGCTGAGGTAGATTTTCCAGTGCCCACGGCTGCCCTGGCCTCCGTGCCGGAGCTCGCGAGTGTACAGGGGACGGTCCACACCTCGCTGAGCTTTCTTCGAGCCGCACACCTGCAGCTCAGGCAGAATCCAAGCGGTCTCGGGGCGGGCGCACTCTGCTGTGTGGCCAACACCGGGGCTGCAGAGGCCCCGGGCGGCAAAGGGCTGGGCAGGCCGCTCCAGAGGCGGCCCCAGCACGGCCCGCGCCAGGGGACGGCAGCGGGGACAGCCTGCGCGGCGAATCTCGTTCTCAGCGTGGGTGTACCTGGGGGTCCTACCCAGGCTGGGAGTGGGGCAGACACAGCAGCTGGGCACGCCCGGTCAGCTGCCACCGGAGCTGGGGCCCCCTGCGCCCCCTGGGGACAGCACCTGCTCCTCCCGCCGCCACGCATCCAGCACGCACCAGGCCGTGTCGCAGGCACTGAACGGAGGCAGCTGCCCTTGCACGGGGTGGCGGGCAGCTGTGGGCGAGGAGCGGGGGGCGCACAGCCCACGGCGCTCCGCGGCAGACCTGGCTTGCCCGTGTGCTGACGCGCGGCTCCCGCAGGTCCCGGGCAAGTACACGGTGACGGCCGACAGCGAGAAGGGGGGCCCGGGCACGCTGGCCGTGAAGGGCGGGGACGTGGTGGAGGTGGTCGAGGAGGGCGCCGAGGGCCTCTGGTAAGACCCCCGCCCCGCCGCCGCGCCGCGCTCGGCCTCCGCCGGCGCCCGGTGGAGCCGCTGCCCGCGCCTCTTGCAGGTACGTGCGGGACCTGACGAGCGGCGCCGAGGGCTGGGTGCCGGCCGGCAGCCTGAGCGGCCTGCTGCGCAAGTCGGGCTCGGCGCAGTGTCTGAGCAGCTCAGGTAGGCGCCGGGCGCTCCGCGGGCGCAGGGGCGGGCGGGCGGGCGTGCGGGGGCGGCGGCCTCCCGCAGCCGCCCCGTCTCCGCCTGCTTTCCCCGCAGAGTCGAGCCCGGGCTCGGCCGCCCTGAGCAACTCGTCGAGCTGCAGCGAGGGCTGCCACGCCGCCTTCTCTGACCTGCAGGGCTAGCGGCGGACGCCTGAGGCCGCGGCGCCCCGGACCCCGCGAGCGAGCGGCGCCCACGACCCCGGCAGCTCGGCCCGAGCCGCGCGGCCGGCTCCCGGGCGGCACGTCTCCCGTCCCCCGAGGCGGGCCCGGAGGTGGACGGCGCAGGGCCACGCCGGCCCCACGCGTCCGGGCGGGAACGGCGCGTGGGCGGGGTCGCTTCCAGGAGGAGCCCCGACCCCCGACCAAAAACCCGAGCAGAGACGGCCGGGGCGCTCGCGGCCGGCACGGATTCCTGGTTGTCTGAGCAGGGATTGATCCCGTGGCCGTTTTTGCGTGCCCTGGCCTCACGTCTTTACCAAGAATCACTGTGTTTACATGACATGACAATTTGATACTGTATTTGATATAAAAGTATTTTTTGTTACCGGGGTTTACATCCAACCACGCTGTTTTTACCGCCGAGGGACGCGGGGACGCCCGGGCCGCGGGGGCAGGTTCCGCCCTCACAGGAGAGTGGCGCTGTCACCTCAAACCTCAGCCTTTCCTACAGACGCTGGGGCTCGCTGACGGACATTCCTGGCCCTGAACGAACGTGGAGGCAGAGTGCGGGGTCCCGCGAGGGCCGACGCCGGCCCGACGCCGGCCCGACCCCGGCGTGCGGGCGCCGTGTTCCCCTCGGCCCCGGGCCAGACGCGTGAGCACAGCGAGTTCACCGACCACGGCCAGACTGGACCAGGAGCTCGGGTTCCTTGCTTGTGTTTCTGACACAGACCTGTTCTCGGATGCCCTTCTGCAGCCCTCTGGGCACACGTTTGTGTGATCATGTGTGTTCATGTATGTTCATGTGTGTGACATGCAGTCCTTGCAGATGTAGCCATCGTCCCCTTGCTGCTGAGCGCGGGTCTACACAGCCCTTCCCGCTCCGGCGCCCCCCACCGTGGGAGCCTGGGCTTCGCCGGCTCCGCCCCGCCCCGCCCCGCCCCCACCCTGGGCACCCAAAGCCAGCCCTGGCCGGACCTCCAGAGCGCGGGAGGACAGCAGGACGCGCGCCCCTGGCGCCCGAGCTGTGGGAGCCGCTCCTCTGCGCCCCCCCCCCCCCAAGGCACTTTAAACGTCGCGTTCCATCCACTGTTACTGTTACTTTTTTTACTGCTGATGTAAATGAAATTTAAAGCGCAGAGTCTCTATTGTATGCAGTCTGAATAAATACCGGCGAGCTCCGCTGTGTGCAGCCTCTGTCCCCGCGCGCCTGCCCCTCCCGTGACCCCAGGCCGCAGGCGCTCAGCGTGGCCGGCAGGAGGCGCCGTCACCGCTGCACTTCCGCGGGCGGGCAGGCGGGGGTGACCGCGGGCGGGTGCTGGCGCGGGGAGATGCAGCGGAAGCGGAGCAGAGGCAGGGACCCAGGACAGGGAGCAGGAGGCGCAGCCCGCGTGCGGCTCCGCAGCCGACCGGCTGGGAACTGCTGGGAGAGGCCTTGGGGCAAAACCATGCAGAGGCGAAGCAAAAAGAACAAAGATGCAAGAGTACTGCAAAAAGTTCATGGAAATGGAAATTAGACATTTGGTGCAAGCAAATTCCGAAATCCCTGCAGAGGTCTTCAAAAATGTCGTCCAAAAACCCATGTCGTGAAAAACATGCGAAGGTCTCCATTTTTGTTCTGCACCCAAACTTCTTTTCTTCCGTTTGTCCACATACTTTGTGAAGTACCTCACGTGCAAACACTGCCCACAGGAGAGAAGGCGGTGACCCTGGCACATGTGCAGTGGCTGTAGGACGGTGTGAGGGCCCTGCACCGGGCAGGGACGCTAGAGCGGAGCGGGCCGGATCACGTCAGAGCTGATACGCGTCTGTCCACAGGCGGGAAAGCAGGCGCTGTTTTCAGCACAGGTGAACGTGTACGCAGCCGGCTGCAAACCAGCCAGAGACGGGTAGCAAGGCTCGCAGTCCTGGGCCGGAGGGGAGGCCACCGGCCCCACTCTAGGCTCTCAGGGTCTGCACGCCAGAGCCTGACGGCTGCAGCCAAAGCCCTGCCGAGCAGCGAGGCCCACAGGACGGGTGAGCCAGCGAGCAGATGGCCTCAGAAAAGACTGGGCCCCACGTGGGGCAGCCGGCGAAGCCGCCCCCTGCAGGGCCTGCATCCCGTGTAGGCGCCGGTTCAAGTCTCGCTGCTCCACTTCCCACACAGCTCTGCTGTGGCCTGGGAAAGCAGGAGATGGCCCAAGTGCTTGGGCCCTGCACCCACGTGGGAGACTGGAAGAAGCTCCTGGCTCCTGGCTTCGGATCGGCCCAGCTTGAGCCATTGCAGCCATTTGGGGAATGGAGTGGATGGAAGACCTCTGTCTCTCCCTAACTCTGCCTTTAAAGCGAATAAACCATAAAAACAAAAAAAGGCATCCCTCACGGAAAGCATGAAGGAACTCGTTCAACAGAGCAAAAGCAAAACAAAGCAGCAGTGACACCTTGTTCCTCGACAGACCTAACGCAGACCAACATACACAAAACTGGGCGACTTCACAAGGACAAGCTTTCAGATGCGAGCAGCGACGGGAACAACTTCCCGCAAATGCATCTGAAAGAAGGACAAGTAGGACATTTCTTTTAAAAATAAACTTTTGAAATTGATCAAGAAAAAACTCAAACACTTGGGTTGGTGATTAACCAGTCCAGCTAACTCTACCCGTGCAGACCCAGATCCGGTGGTTTAGTGGACACAGCCTGTTTACACAAACCAGAGGGAGAGGAAGGGAGCAACGCCACCAGCTCAGGAGGCAAGTTGACCCTTGGCACCCAGACCTGACAAACACCGCGTGAGGAGAAATGATGACTATGAAGGCAAAACTCCCAATAAAACCTCACTGTACGATATAAACAAAAGTGCATTCTTACTGAGTAAATGTGTCCCAGCAATGCAATATGGCCCAGTATCAGAAAAGGAGCGCCACGTTGGGCACTGTGACAAACATCCGCAGTGTAACAGATGCAAAACCCCCAAGCTTTATTCAACATTCATTTATTAGGTTCAGCCAAGTAGGAGGAGGAGGAAACTCTCTATCCTGATGCTGTACACCTAACAAAATCTCCCAGCCCCAGCTCAGAGCCCCTTGCTGAGGGCAGAACGGTGCAGGGGCACCGAGAGCTACCCAGGGGACCAGAGTGTGGGCAGCACAGCATGAGAGCAATGGTGAGAACTTGCAGTGGCTGCAGGGCGCACCCTCCAGCCAGCCCACAAGACGTCACTAGCAGCCCAGCCGTGACCACGGCACAACACACGAACACAACAGAGTTTGCACACGACGCTAGGAAACCTAACTGAAGGTTATAAAAAGAAGCCCAAAATCAGGGCAGGTGTTTGGCCTAGCAGCTAAGATGCCTGCACCCCGCACTGGCAGGCCTGGGTTCGAGTCCCCGCTGTGCTCCTGACTCCAGCTTCCTGCTAATGCAGACCCTGGGAGGCAGCAGCAGAGCTGCGCTGAGACCCCAGCTCCTGGCTTCAGCCCCGGCCCAGCCCCGGCCATCGTGGGCATCTGAGCAGTGAACCAGCTGACAGACGATTCCCTCTCTCTCCTGCCCTTGTGAATAAAAAAGAGCAAGTCACCAAAATGGCAGGTCTCCCCTAAACCGACGTTTAATGAGTTCTTGTGGGATCAGGAAGCTGGTTTAGTGTGCGTGGAGGAATAACTGTCTCAGTGTAGCCATGAGGCTTCAGCAGTAGGAGGGACAGCACGAGGGGAGCTTGCCCAGCCAGCTGTGGGTTGGCTGCAAAGCTGCAGTCGGCAACCACAGGACTCCCCACGGCTGTGTGTGCACAGGACCAGTGGGGCAGCCAGATCAACCGTGAGCTCAGGGAGCCGCCCACGAGGCCGGCTCAGCCCCTTTCCTGTGGGCACGTGATGAATTATGTCTCTCAACTGGAAACAGGATTACAGGAGGGACCAGGCTAACCTTGTCAGCTGGGGAAAGGAGGTTTACAAAAGACCAAGAACGCTGTGCTCACCGGATGGGCAAAGAGAAAAAGACGCATAAATCTGAGTCCATCGCATGATGAATTTCTCTTCACCCACAGCCTCGGGGGCCAGGTGAGAAGCAGGACAAGTGCTCGGGGGGTTCTCTGCGCCTCCAGCTGAGCACTGGGCGCACTGGGCAGCCCTGAGCCCAGGGTCAGGCCAACCCCATGGGGTTGCAGAAGTCTGAGTGGTGTCTGTGAGTGTGGCTTGCACGTGAACAAGTGCCATGTGCAGATGGACAGTGTGCACACACAATGAGGTGTGTGGAGGTGTGTGAGTGTGGCATGTGCACAGAGCGGTGTCTGCAAGTAACAGGTGTGACTGTGGCACAGGGCTCCGCCGCTGTGCATCACACACACACTGAGCAACTCACCTGTGCAGCCACCACGACGGTGTGTCCAGACACGTGGTGCCAGGAACAAGCTGCTGAGACCCACACACAGCTCACCAGGAGCCACAGCCACGGGGCTCCAGAGCGACCCCTGGTGGCTGCGTGTGGCTGAGGCCATGGCCCGCCTGCAGCTCTGGAAGGGAGGTCAGGAGGCCAGAGCCTTTCACGCCCTGGGTACAGGGAGAGCAGCCACAGGTGAGCAGTGGCCCCCACGGGCTGCCCAGAAAGGCGGAGGACGCTCGGCCTGAGCCCCACAGGAGGAACTGAGAGCAGCCAAGCCTACCTCCAGCCGGGGGTGAGGGCCGGGTGCTGCCCCTTCTCCCCACTGCTGTCACTCAGGGAGCGCAGCGGGGCGACATCAAGCGCGAGACGGCTTTGAGGGTGGCCCAGACTGATGGGAAAGCGGGGTGACGGGGGGGGGGGAGATGGATCCGCTGGTTCACTCCCCACATGGCTGCCACGGCCAGGCCTGGGCCAGGCTGAAGCCAGGAGCCTGGAACCCCAGCCAGGTGTCTCCTGTGGGTGCAGGGACCCGAGCACTCGCCGCATCCTCCGCTGTTTCCCAGGCACATTAGCCGGGAGCCGGATGGGAAGGAGGGCAGCCGGGGTCAGACCAGCGCTCTGAGAGGGGGCGTCCCCAGCCAGAGCTAGACCTGCGCATGACCGCCCTGAGCTGCTCCGAAGTCCGCATCGCTGCAGGAGCTGAGAGCTCCTGCGGCTGCTCCCGGCCCACGGTCAGCAGCTGGACCTCACCGCCAGGCAGGGGCCTGAGCTCAGCCGAGGCCCAGCAGCTCCAGCCAGCTGTGGCAGGAGCTGAGGCAGGGCCAGGGCCACCCCTCCTGGGAGGGACATTTACTGCGGGAACATCGACCCCTGGTGTTGTACCAGATGGTTCCAATTCTTTTTTTCTTTTCTTTTTTTTTTTTTTTTTTTTGACAGGCAGAGTTAGACAGTGAGTGAGAGAGAGAGAGAGAGAGGAGAGAGAGAGAGAGAGAGAGAGAAAGGTCTTCCTTCCGTTGGTTCACCCCCCAAATGGCTGCTATGGCCGGCGCACTGCACCGATCCGAAGTCAGGTGCCAGGTGCTTCCTCCTGGTCTCCCATGCGAGTGCAGGGCCCAAGCACTTGGGCCACCCTCCACTGCACTCCTGGGACACAGCAGAGAGCTGGCCTGGAAGAGGAGCAACCGGGACAGAACCCGGCGCCCCGACCAGGGCTAGAACCCGGGGTGCCGGCGCCGCAGGCGGAAGATTAGCCTAGTGAGCCGCGGCGCTGGCCCAGATGGTTCCAATTCTAACATGGGACGTCCACCTCCTGAGAAACCCCCAGCCTCCAGGCAGCCCGGGGTGGGCAGCCAGCCTCACTGTGGCCGCCTGGGCACAGTGCCATCCGCCATGCGAACAAAGGACGCGCAGCCAGCAGGGGCCCCAGCCTGGCCGCCCAGGCCTCCCCACACACTCCCTGGCTGCACACACGGCCGACCCCGGGGAGCGCAGCTGCTCTGGGAGTGATTTTCACCCACATCTGAACTCTTGCTGAGGCTGCCTCTGCTCCGCCAGGCCAGCCAGGGAATCCAGGCCACCTCCAGCTGCCCTCCCCCTCCCCTCTGCCGCTACCACCGAGAACTTTGTCCACTGTCCCCTGCTGAGAGTCAACAGGCAGGTGGCAGAGGCGACTCATCATGGCGCCCCAGGCCCGCGGGCTGGGCCTCTGCTCCCTTCTCGCGCTCCAAGCGTCTCTGGCTGCAGGTAGGTGTGGGGGACGCCTCCCTGCCGACGTGGCCAGGGGGTCAGCCAGGCCGCCCATGAAGGGACTTTCCTCCCCCGACGCTGCGGGTGTCCAGGCCGCAGGAAAGGCTGGTCTTGGCGGGCAGCTCCGGCGTATTACGCAGCATGGGACTTGGGGCTGGCCCCTGTGAGCACCTACCACCCAGTGGGCCAAGTCCAGGGACTCGGGGCGCCCAGAGCATGGGGGAGCCTCACTCTGCTCTCCTGGGCTCCAGGCCAGTTGTGGGGTGAGTGGTCGCTGGGCCACAGCCACACTCCCTTCCCCCACAGGGCATGGAGGTTCACTGCACGGCCACTGGGCCTGCTCCCGGCCACAGCTCTGTGACCACAGCCATGCTCTCTGCGGGGTGTGGAGGCCTCGTGACAGAGCCTAATGAGTGAGTGCACGCACCTGGAGGGTGAGGCACGTAGGCTCTGCTCCAGCCCCACCGTAGCCGCCTCCCTCTCCCCTCCCCTCCCCTCTCTGCACTCAGCACCCGGCTTCCATTCCTGCCACTCCAGGCTGTCCTCCTGACCTCACCAAGAGCTGCCTCAGGCTCCTCCCAGCAGCCCCTGGGCCTCTTAGAGTGGCCCCCCAGGCTCCAGTCACCCCTTCTCAGGCTCACCTGCTGCACTGGTCCTCCCCCAAACACGGCATCATTCCCAGGCCCCCTGTCCCACTGCACCCCGCAGGCCACCTGCTGTCAGCCCTGAGCGCCTGTATCTCCTCAGCAGGGGGCCCTGGGGGGGCTTTCGTGGCCTTGCCTGCACCCTTGGTTGCGACCTTGGCATGATTTTTAGGAATCTGAACTTCTGTCTCCGCCTACACACCTCTGCTATGATACCATGGCTAATGCAGCCGCCATCGCCTTGTTCAGGAGGGATGGGGTTACCTTGCCCGGGCCTCCCTGGGGAACCCGGCCTCCCCAGCCTCCTTATCTGCAGGACGCGGGGAACACTCACTCACCTCCCAGCGACTGCTGGGGTCACCATGACGGGCCAGGAGGGTGCACAGAAGGGGCTCACTTTTGGCAGCAGGGGCTCAGAGGAGGCTGGACCAGGTCTCAAGCCGAGGGGAATCGGGGCGGGGGAGGGCCCAGGAGGAGGGCAGCCGATGCTCAGGGCTGGGGGCTGGCGAGAGCTGGGGCAGGAAGGTCAGGGTGCCCTGGGGCCCCGCAGCTGGGGAGATGGGGAGGGAGGACTGTGCCACCCACCAGCACGGGGCACAGATGAGGGGTTTGGATCCGTATGGTGCCCAGGTGCCAAATAGTATTTCTAAGAGTATGTATGTAGCATGTGCACATCTCACATACCAGAGAAGGGCGGATGTGACACACACTGATTTTCACCCTTTTCACCTGACACCACAGCTTACTCTGAGTGCTGCCACTGGACACCATCACTCGTGGTTTCAGACAACTCTCATCAAAAGCTCTCCCTGGCTGTGTCTGTGCGGCCTCTGAGTATTTCCGCAGCATAAATCCTTAGACGTCACTGGGAACGGGCGGGGACCCTGAGCCGGCTGGGTGGGGAGTGGTCTCTGTGCACCGTGGCAAGCAGGACGTAACTGGTCGCCACTTCACAGTCTTTATAACCCAGGAGGAGGCGCACAGCGTCCTGCGCAGGCAAAGGCGGGCCAATTCTTTCCTGGAGGAGCTGCGGCCGGGCTCGCTGGAGAGGGAGTGCAAGGAAGAGCTGTGCTCCTTCGAGGAGGCGCGGGAGGTCTTCCAGAGCACCGAGAGGACGGTGAGTGTGCCCGCCGCGCTGAGCTGGCGCCAGACTGAGCGAGGCCGTGGGCGAGAGCGTGGGCTGCGTGCTACAGTGTGCCCGCCACGCTGAGCTGGCGCCAGACTGAGCGAGGCCGTGGGCGAGAGCGTGGGCTGCGTGCTACAGTGTGCCCGCCACGCTGAGCTGGCGCCAGACTGAGCGAGGCCGTGGGCGACAGCGTGGGCTGCGTGCTACAGTGTGCCCGCCACGCTGAGCTGGCGCCAGACTGAGCGAGGCCGTGGGCGAGAGCGTGGGCTGCGTGCTATAGTGTGCCCGCCACGCTGAGCTGGCACCAGCCTGAGCCAGGCCGTGGGCGAGAGCGTGGGCTGCGTGCTACAGTGTGCCCGCCGCGCTGAGCTGGCACCAGACTGAGCCAGGCCGTGGGCGACAGCGTGGGCTGCGTGCTCTAGTGTGCCCGCCGCGCTGAGCTGGCACCAGCCTGAGCCAGGCCGTGGGCGAGAGCGTGGGCTGCGTGCTACAGTGTGCCCGCCACGCTGAGCTGGCGCCAGCCTGAGCGAGGCCGTGGGCGAGAGCGTGGGCTGCGTGCTACAGTGTGCCCGCCGCGCTGAGCTGGCGCCAGACTGAGCGAGGCCGTGGGCGACAGCGTGGGCTGCGTGCTCTAGTGTGCCCGCCGTGCTGAGCTGGCGCCAGCCTGAGCCAGGCCGTGGGCGAGAGCGTGGGCTGCGTGCTACAGTGTGCCCGCCGCGCTGAGCTGGCGCCAGACTGAGCGAGGCCGTGGGCGACAGCGTGGGCTGCGTGCTACAGTGTGCCCGCCGCGCTGAGCTGGCGCCAGACTGAGCCAGGCCGTGGGCGAGAGCGTGGGGCTGCGTGCTATCTCAGAGCCCTGGCATGCGAGGTCGCCATATTGGGGTCACTTTGCCCTGAGAATGTCTTCACTTTCCCTTGCAACACAACCCACCTCTCCCAGTGCCCAGGGCACCCTCCAAGGCCCACATGCACCCTGCTGTGTCCACACATGCATGCTAATCTTCATGTCCCACACTGACAGACAGAAAGCACCCTTGACCTGCTCTTGCCTTCCCTTGGAAGTGCCCAAACCCACAAAGGCATGGCGGGACACTGGCCCACAGACCTGTCCCTGCTGGGCCCATGGTGGGCACCCCCTCAGGAGAAACGCTTGTGAGGAACAATGCGTGGGGAACCCTGGCTTCTGCCACGCTTGGGCGGCGACACAGCGGATTCAGGACTTCGGGTCTCACATCTAGGACATGCGTATTGGCGTGTCTTTCATTTTCCTTTCCTTTTACAATCCTCTTTGCTGTCTGGAAGCAATGATGAAGGTGATGCCGAGACAAGGGATTTGGGATCGGGAGGTTGTGCTATGGCCACGAGCTCTGGAGAGACTGGAGCCACGTCAGAGCTTGGAGGGATTTCTGCTGGCCACCTGCGACAGCTGGGTCACGGTCACTGTATCACAGGTTTTTTCAGCACCTGGACTCCTGCACATCTCAAAATGGACAGCTCATGTCGCACTCACAGGACCCACGCCACACACAGAACTTCACCTCACACAGGACCAGAAGGTCACACTCACAGAGCCAAAGCTTCACACCCGCAGGACCAGCATCGCACACAGAGCAACCATCAGCTCCCACTACCAGCAGTCTCACACTCCGGACCAACACCTCACACTCCAACAACCCCACACACTCACATTCAACACCACACACTCCCAGGACCAACTCCTCACACTCCAACAACCCCACACACTCACATTCAACACCACACACTCCCAGGACCAACTCCTCACACTCCAACAACCCCACACACTCACATTCAACACCACACACTCCCAGGACCAACTCCTCACACTCCAACAACCCTACACACTCACATTCAACACCACACACTCCCAGGACCAACACCTCACACTCCAACAACCCCACACACTCACATTCAACACCACACACTCCCAGGACCAACACCTCACATTCCAACAACCCTACACACTCACATTCAACACCTCACACTCCCAGGACCAACACCTCACACTCCAACAACCCCACACACTCACATTCAACACCACACACTCCCAGGACCAACACCTCACATTCCAACAACCCTACACACTCACATTCAACACCACACACTCCCAGGACCAACACCTCACACTCCAACAACCCCACACACTCACATTCAACACCACACACTCCCAGGACCAACTCCTCACACTCCAACAACCCCACACACTCACATTCAACACCACACACTCCCAGGACCAACTCCTCACACTCCAACAACCCCACACACTCCCAGGACCAACTCCTCACACTCCAACAACCCCACACACTCACATTCAACACCACACACTCCCAGGACCAACTCCTCACATTCCAACAACCCTACACACTCACATTCAACACCACACACTCCCAGGGCCAACACCTCACACTCCAACAACCCCACACACTCACATTCAACACCTCACACTCCAACAACCCCACACACTCACATTCAACACCACACACTCCCAGGACCAACTCCTCATACTCCAACAACCCCACACACTCACATTCAACACCACACACTCCCAGGACCAACACCTCACACTCCAACAACCCCACACACTCACATTCAACACCACACACTCCCAGGACCAACTCCTCACACTCCAACAACCCCACACACTCACATTCAACACCACACACTCCCAGGACCAACTCCTCACACTCCAACAACCCCACACACTCCCAGGACCAACTCCTCACACTCCAACAACCCCACACACTCACATTCAACACCTCACACTCCAACAACCCCACACACTCACATTCAACACCACACACTCCCAGGACCAACACCTCACACTCCAACAACCCCACACACTCACATTCAACACCACACACTCCCAGGACCAACTCCTCACATTCCAACAACCCCACACACTCACATTCAACACCACACACTCCCAGGACCAACACCTCACACTCCAACAACCCCACACACTCACATTCAACACCACACACTCCCAGGACCAACTCCTCACACTCCAACAACCCCACACACTCACATTCAACACCACACACTCCCAGGACCAACTCCTCACACTCCAACAACCCCACACACTCCCAGGACCAACTCCTCACACTCCAACAACCCCACACACTCACATTCAACACCTCACACTCCAACAACCCCACACACTCACATTCAACACCTCACACTCCCAGGGCCAACACCTCACACTCCAACAACCCCACACACTCACATTCAACACCTCACACTCCAACAACCCCACACACTCACATTCAACACCACACACTCCCAGGACCAACTCCTCACATTCCAACAACCCTACACACTCACATTCAACACCACACACTCCCAGGACCAACTCCTCACACTCCAACAACCCTACACACTCACATTCAACACCACACACTCCCAGGGCCAACTCCTCACACTCCAACAACCCTACACACTCACATTCAACACCACACACTCCCAGGACCAACTCCTCACACTCCAACAACCCTACACACTCACATTCAACACCACACACTCCCAGGACCAACACCTCACACTCCCAGGACCAACACCTCACACTCCCAGGACCAACACCTCATACTCCCAGGACCATCACCTCACACTCCCAGACCAATACTTCACACTCCCAGTACCAACCCCATGCACTCCCAGAACCAACTCCTCACACTCAGGAACCAACTCCTCATATTCCCAGGATCAGCTCCTCACATTCCCAGAACCAACACCTCACACTCAGGAACCAAAACCTCCCACTCCTGGGACCAATACCTCACACTCCAATAACACTTCATACTCCAGTTCAGTACCTCACACTCAGGACCAACACCTCCCACTCCCAAAACCAACTCCTTACACTCAGGAACCAACACCTCATATTCCCAGGACAAACTCCTCACACTTGCAGGTCAACACCTCACACTCAGGACCAGCACCCCCCACTCCCACAACCGCCTCCCACTCCCAAGACCAACCCCTCCCACTCCCAGACCAACACCTCACTCTCAGGACTAACACCTCATGTTAACGGAACCAACACCTCTAGCTCCCACAAGCAACACCTCATCCTTCCAGAACCAACATCTCCCGCTTACGACCAACACCTCATGCTCTCAGAACTCCTCACACTCAAAGGACCGAGAGCTCATGTGCACAGGATCCACCACACTCCCCCGGAAGTCGGTCTATAGAGAAGTGAGACAGGCAGACCAGAGGCGGTCCTTGCTTGTACTGTTACACCACTTCATTTCCAGCACCTTTTCTCCATTTCACATCCAGAGGAACCGACAGCACACCACGAGTAGCTGTGCTGGAGTTTTAACATCTTGGATCAGTTTTAGCGACGGACCCTCTCATTCACTCTGCTATTACCCGCACTCAGCTGCTTCCTCACGGCAGCACCACGTGCGCGAGACCACCTATCCAGGGATGAGGGGCGCTCAGAGGAGGCAGAGCTCCAAGTTGGGAGGGACACGTCCTGGGGAGGGGCTTAGAGGACAGTGCTGCCTCCACACAAGCAGCCCGCCCCTGGCTGCCTGCACGGTGGCCGCGGGGAGGCGTCTCACACGGCTTTCCCTCTTCCTCAGAAGCAGTTCTGGATCACTTACAATGGTGAGTAGGGGACCAGCGGCGCACCTGCCACCCTCCAGCCCTTCCCCTCCACATGCTGATGCCAACTCGCTCCTCAGATGGGGATCAGTGTGCCTCCAACCCGTGCCAGAACGGAGGCTCCTGTGAGGACCAAATCCAGTCCTACATCTGCTTCTGCCTGGCTGACTTCGAGGGTCGCAACTGTGAGAAAAGTGAGCCTTCCTGCTTGCAGCTTTCACAGAGGGCCCTGAGGACCGGGGGGCTGGGGGGCTGCCCTTGAAGGTCCCGCCACGCTGAGGGCCCTCGGTGGTACACTGTGAAACGCCGATCCTCGGACTGATGGCCCCTTGGGTCCTCCACATAGGAGAGGGCATAGGTGAGCGCCACCTTGTCACTGCCCGGCTCCCAGGCAGGACCGTTTGGTAGATCTAAGAGTGTCTTTCACTTTCCAAATAGTGAATTATTGCAGAGCCTGAGGGCCCCCAGACCACCTTCACATTCAGAAACTCAGCAGGGCTCAACACCCCCCCACCCCGCAAGCTGACCGGGAGACTGACAGACTCACTGCTGACTGCCACACTGCAGACAAGGGCCGGGCCTGAGCCTCCAGAGTCCTTGCCATGGTCACATCAGCCTCTGATTCTCAGACCGCAGTGGCAGCACCTGAAGAATACCCCAACCCGGAAGTCCCCGGGCCTGGCGCCCAGGGTTCTGTCGGGACTCAGTGACGCATGCTTGGCCTCCCTCCAGCCCCCAAGGCCAGCCCAAGGCCTCAGGGAAATGAAGTCCCAGTCGGGCAGGGCGTTCCCAGGCCCCCTGTCTGCCCGGCCACGCCTTTTCCACACTTACACGCTTCAGCGCCAAACACAGCCCACAAAGAGTGAAGAACTCGGGAAGCAGCTTCCACTGCTCACCTGGGCCTGGCGAGCCTTTGCCAGCCCAGGACAGGCCTGCGCCCTGAGCCAGCTCCAGGTGCCCACACAAGCTGTCGGAGCCATGTCCCTCCTCTTCCGCCCCAGCCAAGGCCGGCACTCACAGAACAGGCTCTTCTCTCTGGTCCTCCTGCCAGTGTTCCTCTGGGTCAGGTAGACAGTGTGTCCACAGGGACTCCTGCACTCCCCAAGGCCCTCCCTAATCTCCCACCAGCTGCTTGCCCAGAAGGCACCGCGAGATGGCCTCGCCTCCCCCAAGTGCTGCATGGCTGCAGCTGCACCCTGGGTGGGCACTCAGATGTGTGTCCCACACCTCCAGGCCTCACCCTCTGGGTCCATCCCCAGAGCAGGTGGGTACTGAGCTCACCCTGCTCACAGCCAACAAGGCCAGCTTCTGCCAACCCATGCAGGCCCCTCTCAGCCTGTCCCCTTCCTGTCCCCAGACAAGAACGACCAGCTGATCTGCATGTACGAGAATGGGGGCTGTGAGCAGTACTGCAGCGACCACGTGGGGAGCCAGCGCTCCTGCCGCTGCCACGAGGGCTACACGCTGCTGCCCAATGGGGTGTCCTGCACACCCACAGGTAACAGCACTGGGGCCCTGCCGGGCCGTGGGCCATGTGGCCAGTCACCACCCCTGGCCTGCGACAAGCTCTCTCGCTGGATGAGAGGTGGGGTGGGGACAGGCTTGCCAGCTGAGCATGTGCTGTGCGCCCACCTCCTGCGAGAGGAGGAAGGTGGAGGGCACGAGGCTGCCCGCCTGGGGTGGGCAGCACGGGCTCCCTGGGGGCAGCTCCCTCCCGGGCGTGGGCCCCTCCTAGGGGGCTGCATGGGGCTCCGTCTCCCTCCCAATCCTGACCTGCAGGCTCTGCCAAGGTGCTGCAGCCACATGGCACGGCTGTGTCTGCACAGCTGATTTGGATGGGTGCTTCTAGGAAGATGGGGATTTTCTCCAAACCCACTGCTAACAAATGGGGCTGCGGTTCCAAACGCTAGGGCACCCCCAGCCCTTCCTGGCCCAAGGACATCGCTTGTGATGGCTGCTGTCTGTGGATGTAGCACCACACACCCCGTAGTGAACCCAAGCACATCTGCCTCCCCTCACAGCCTAGCAGAACCCAATTCCAAAAAGGTGGGCCCTCTGCACCTCCAAAACAGCCCCACCTGTCTCCCCACTCAGCAGCACCCAGCACCCGGGCCTCCCTCACGGGCAGCAGGCAGTGCGCACGCCTCCCAGAGGATGGGTGTGTGAACCCCGGGAGCCACGGGCACCTTCATGCCCCGACTCCTCCCCACCTCCTGACTCTTCCCCACGCAGTTGATTACCCATGCGGCAAAGTACCTGCTCTGGAAAAGAGAGGCGCCAGCAACCCCCAGGGCCGGATTGTGGGGGGCAAGGTGTGCCCCAAAGGGGAGTGCCCGTGGCAGGTAAGGAGGCCTCCCTGGCCCTGGGGCCCGCGGAGCCAGGCGCTGCAGCCTCAGCCTCCCCCTGTGGCACCTTCGGGACGAGCGCAGGGGTAGGGAGTGTCAGTCCACCGTGCCAGCGTGGCAGCGCCCTCCCTGCTCTGGGGGCGTGGAGGAGAGAATGGAGCTCGCCCACCAGGGCCCGCGTGGCAGCTTCTGGGGTGGGACCCGGGCCTCGACTCTGCAGAGTCAGAGCGGCAGCTCCCCCCGTGTGTGCACAGCAGGCCCTGACACCATCACCACGGGTGGGCTGGGGCCGGGGCCCCGACTTCAGCCCCGAGCGATGTGCTGGCCAGCCCGCAGTCGCTCTGCACAGGGGGTGTGTGGGGAACCACGGCCATGGCCTGACCCTCGCCTGCCTGCGCTTGCCCAGGCCGCGCTGATGAACGGCAGCACGCTACTGTGTGGGGGTTCCCTACTGGACACCCACTGGGTGGTCTCCGCTGCCCACTGCTTCGACAAACTCAGCAGCCTGAGGAACCTGACCATAGTGCTGGGTAGGTGCCGTCCTTGTCTCCTCCCGACTGGGGACAGCTCCTGGGGGCTGGGGCCCAGGGCTGAGTCTGCCTCTGTGACCACCCTGGGCACAGCCTCCTTTGTGCTCCTGAGACCACCCGAAGACTTCACGAGGTTGCCTCCACCCCTCCCCCCGACCCCGCCACGCTCAAACCAACAGCCCCGAGGAAGAGGGGGCCCCTGGGGCCTCCATGGGCCCTCCCACCCCACAGGTGCCTGAGAGGCTCCACTGGTCGCCCTGTGCCCAGGGCTGCGAGCGCTGACTGCCCGGGCCTCCCCCTCCCAGGCGAGCATGACCTCAGTGAGCACGAGGGGGACGAGCAGGTGCGGCACGTGGCACAGCTCATCATGCCCGACAAGTACGTTCCAGGCAAGACCGACCACGACATCGCTCTGCTGCGCCTGCTGCAGCCCGCGGCCCTCACCAACAACGTGGTGCCCCTCTGTCTGCCCGAGAGGAACTTCTCCGAGAGCACGCTGGCCACCATCCGCTTCTCCCGGGTGAGCGGCTGGGGCCAGCTCCTGTACCGCGGCGCCTTAGCCCGGGAGCTCATGGCCATCGACGTGCCGCGGCTGATGACCCAGGACTGCGTGGAACAGTCTGAGCACAAGCCAGGCTCCCCGGAGGTCACGGGGAACATGTTCTGTGCCGGCTACCTGGACGGCAGCAAGGACGCCTGCAAGGGGGACAGCGGGGGCCCACATGCCACCTCCTACCACGGCACGTGGTACCTGACGGGTGTGGTGAGCTGGGGCGAGGGCTGCGCAGCCGTGGGCCACGTCGGCGTGTACACCAGGGTCTCGCGCTACACTGAGTGGCTGAGCAGGCTCATGCGCTCCAAGCTACACCACGGCATCCAGCGCCACCCGTTCCCCTAGCCCCAGGAGCCTACGTTCCTCTACAGTCTAGGGGTGAGGGGTCTGGCGGAGGGAGGCAGGGAAGGGGAGAGACACTTGCAGACTGATGAAGAGACAGATTTCGGAAGGGGGGGACAGGAAGTTGAGACAGGCCCCAGGGAGCAGGCCCCCAGCGTCCCCCACAGCCCCTCCCGTCTGCGTGGGCTCTGCCTCACTGCCGGAGGGGAAGCGGCCAGCACACGGACACACACATCTTCTGCAGGATGTCATTTAACTTCTGGTTTTTCCTTATATGAGGATTCCATCTTCATCTCAAATAAACCAGAAGCATTATCCATGCGTTTGGTGACTCCCTCCAGGTGCCACAAGTGTGTTTTTTTCATGCAAAAGGGGTGCTGGTGCTCCACACAGTTTGCACCTGCTCCCCACTGCCCACAAAGGCGGAGTCTCCCTGTGCTTCTGTGTGACGCGGCTGCACCACCACGGTCCCCGGCCTCATGGAAACGGACGTTCGGAGCCAGAGGCTGCTGGCTGAAAACCAAAGTGCCGGGATGCTGCTCGAGGCTGAGCCTCCCTAGGCCGTGGGGAGTGGGGCTCTGTCTCCTGGAAAAGCCCTTCTCAGAGGAGCCCAGGGAGCACTGCCCCGGACGCACAGATTCCCAGGTCCTGCTCTCTGCAGCCGTGATGTGCGGGAGGACCCGGCCAGTGCTCCCCTGCAAATGCAGCGCTCCAGGCCACCGCCGGGGAGGCTGTGCAACCAGGAACAGACGTGGGGGCTGGCACAGGTCAGCCTCCCTTACCCCACAACGCCACCCGGCGGTCCTAGATCCATGGCACTGCCAGGCGACCAACAGGTCCTTTACAGTAGCCCAGGGGTGCACAAATGACCGCCCGGGGCCACCCAGGGCCCTGTTTCTGGAGATCAAGTCTTAGCGGCTGCGACAGACAGCAGAGCCTGAGGTGTCTCCACGGCCAGCCTCCAGTCTGCGTCTGGCCGGGTGCTGCGCCTCGGCTCCCCCTCTGCGGAACAGGAGCCCACTGCAGTGCTCGTCCCCAGGAGCCTCAGGTGAGACGCACACACAGGCTGCAAGGGCAGGAAACTCCACAGCCAGCATGCACAGGCCCAAGCCCGGAGCTGCGGGAACCCCCTTCCTGGGCTGAGGGGCAGGCCATGGATGCAACAGGGGCTTGAGTGGGTCCTGGGTGGAGCACTGGCCCCACTCCCAGTGCAACCCCTGAAGGCGAGCACAACAGAGGAGGGCCCCAGAGCCAGGGATGCCTGGGGCCCACAAACTGTGCCCACCAGGCCAACACGGCAGCACGGAGGACTGGGCCCGGCAGGAGCCCGCCACGCCCACAGGCCCGTCCCAAGGACCCTGCCTGGTGTGTGACAGCCACCACACTGCCAGAGATCAGCCCCAGCCCCGGCACCAAGCCTGTCCATTCACGCAGCGGAGGGGCATCTACTGGACACCAACTGTGTGCCAGGCACCCCTCAGTAACCAAGCTGGACAAGCCCCTGCCTCTCTTCCCTGCTGACTGGGGCTGGGCACCACACAGGGAGGAAGAGACTTGACACCTCAGAGCTCACTGCAGCCGCCACCTGCCCACACCAGGGTCCTGCACGGCTGTCATGGGGACACCTGGGCCCTCCCAGCCTCAGGCTGGTCTGTGCCTAGCAGGTGGGGAGGGATTCCTGGCAGAGCACCCTCTGGCTCCCAGGGGGAGGGGTCACGCTTTCCAGAAACGTCAGAGCTGCAGCGAGGACCATGCAGGGTGGCAGGTTCTCGAATCATCTCAGCCTGGAGTCTGAGTCTGGGGGAGGCTGTGGCAGACACCAGCCTGATGAACCAGACCTGACGCGGGTGTCCAAGCACCACCTGACACCACCCAGAGTGTAGCCCGTGGAAGGACTTCAGAGCCACACTAGGGACTAAGCCAGGCACTGGGCAGAGCCTAGGATCAGGTCCCACATCACCCCACGGCTGGGGTCAGGTCCCACGTCACCCCACGGCTGGGGTCAGGTCCCACATCCACTCCATGGCCTGGGCTCAGGTCCCACATCCACGCCATGGCTGGGTTCAGGTCCCACATCCACTCCACGGCTGGGTTCAGGTCCCACATCCACTCCACGGCCTGGGCTCAGGTCCCACATCCACTCCACGGCCTGGGCTCAGGTCCCACATCCACTCCATGGCTGGGTTCAGGTCCCACATCCTCCCCACGGCTGAGGTCAGGTCCCACATCCACTCCACGGCTGGGGTCAGGTCCCACGTCCTCCCCACGGCTGGGCTCAGGTCCCACGTCCACCCCATAGCTGGGCTCAGGTTCCACGTCCACCCCACAGCTGGGCTCAGGACCCATGTCCTCCTCATGGCCTGGGCTCAGGACCCACGTCTCCCTCATGGCCTGGACTCAGGTCCCACTGCCTCTCCCCCCACCCCATGGCCTGGCTCAAGTCCTGTATGTCCCACACACCCCCTGTGTCCATCTGTGGCCTGGGGTTACCCTCAACTCTCTGTAAACCTCAGTTTTTTGTTGTGGAAAAATGATGAGAAAATGATACTTTTATCATGGTTGAAAAGATTAAGTGGTAGTTACACACAGACATCTGATAACTACAACATGGGCACAAAGTGACGTCAGAAAGACTGACCCAAGGGGCCGGCATAAAGTGACGTCAGAAAGACTGACCCAGGGGCCAGCATAAAGTGATGTCAGAAAGACTGACCCAGGGGCCAGTGCTGTGTAGGCTAAATCTCTGCCTTTGGCGCCGGCATCCCACATGGGCACCAGTTCAAGTCCTGGATGCTCATTTCCCAATCCAGCTCTCCGTGGCCTGGGAAAGCAGTAGATGGCCCAAGTGCTTGGGCCCCTGCACCTACATGGGAGACCCAGAGGAAGCTCCTGGCTCCTGGCTTTGGACTGGTCCATCTCTGGCTGTTACAGCCATTGGGGAGTGAACCAGCGGATGGAAGACCTTTCTCTCTGTCTCTCCCTCTCTTTGTAATGCTGCCTCTTAAATAAATAAATAGACAGGCAGGCAGGTAGATAAATAGGAAGGACGGACGGACGGACGGACGGACTAAAGGGGGGGAGGGGGGAGGAGGGAGGGAGAGGGAGGGAAGGAGGGTGGGAGGGAGGGGGGGGAAGGAGGGTGGGAGGGAGGGAGGGAGGGAGAGAGAGACAGATAGACCGATCGACTGACCCAGGGCATCCCACAGGATGCGGTTACTGATAAAGACTGCTGTGCTGGGAAAGGCAGGGCTGGGTGAGGACACGCCCCCACGCAATCCTGCCCTGACATCATTGCAGGCTGAGCTCCAATCAGGAGGCTGGAATGAGAAGGACGTCCAGCCACCTGGGAGTCCACACAGTGACCCTTGCCCCGGGCCTGTCACAGAAGGGACGGGAGCCTCTGTCCTCCGCCACACCATGGCCAACCCACTGCACCTCGTCCTGCTCGGCGCCGCCCTAGCCGGCCTCCTGCTGTCCGGGAGCAGTGGTGAGTGCCCTGCGCCCTTCACGCTGCAGAGGGGCCCCAGAGGAAGGGGCAAGGGTGGATAGTCTGAGGATGAGGCCACGGGGGTCCCGGCCCCATCCCCGGCTCGCATCACACAGCTCACCCTGGTCGTCAGAGCCAAGGGCAGACTCAGCGCCAGCGGGCGCTCCCTGCAGAAGAGTCTCCAGGGAGGTCAGAGGTCACAGAGACAAAACACAGGACAGAGATAAGGAGAGACAGGGGCAGACAGGGACGTGAAGGTGACAGAGAGAAGCCCCCTGGACTCCCAGAGAGCAGGGGCTAGGAAGTCACAGAGAGGAGCTGGGGCCACCAGCTCCACCTGGCTCGACCGCTCCGAAGGGGGCATCTGAGCCGGCCAAACCCCAGGCCCGTGTGAGCACAGCCCAGGAAGGTGGGAGGCAAAGAGGACCCCAGGGGCGGCAGGGGAGGAGGCCCTCTGCGGGGGTCTGGGGGGCCCCTCTGCATCTGGAGAGGGGGCCAGGAGCCCTGAGGAGGACACAGCACTGCCGTGAGGCGGGGTGGGGGCAGGGGAGGCTGGCACGGGCGAGCTGGGGGGCCACGTGGGGAGCTGAGGGGGGCTCGCGCAGCGGGGTGTGGGGAGCTGAGTGGGGAAGTGCGGGGAGACACGAGAATCAGGCTGACCTGAGGGTGCCTCTGCTGGGCAGCCCCCCTCGTGATGGACCACGCAAAGTCTGGCTCCCGTCAGGTCCTGGGGGTGGTCACCTCTGTCCACCCTTGACCTCTTCTGTCCTGCACACAGCTGGGGGCCCTCTCCGGGCTCCTCCTGCCCTGGACTGTGGGGCCCTTCTGCAGACCCTCAGCCCACACCCTTCCTCCCAGGCCGCTCCACACGTGCTCACTGCCCTGACGGCTGGCCGTGCACGGATGGCTGTGGGTGTCCCCACTACAGCCTGGACCCCAGACAGCAGGGCCATGCCGCCCACCGCCCCGTTCTGCACCCGGTGACCGGGCAGCTGGGCTGTGGCTTCATGCCCGGAGCAGGCCTGGCGACCCAGCACGCCCCACTGTGTCGCACTGCAGGCCTGTGTGGCGAGGAACAACACGAGCCCCTTCTGCCACAACTCAGAGAACGCAAGTCCAAAATCCAGGTGTGGGAGGACAGGGGGACCGCCAGCCCGCGGTGCCCTTGGCCTTTGGGAGCAGTGCCCGCTCTCGCCCACGTGCCTGCACAGCACTGACCCTGTGTCTCCGGAAGCCGTCGCACTGGGCAGGCTCACCCCACTCTGGCGGAGCTGCTCCTCAACCGGTTCCTTCCGTAAAAACTGTTTCCAATTAAGGCCACGTTCCGAGGTTCTGGGAGGTCGTGAAGGGGGGGTGGGCACACGGTCAGCCCTGAGGTGCAACTGTCAGTATTTCTGGCAGTCCAGCTATTTAATGTACACACACAACTGAACACAGAGAGCAAGCCCTACAGCTGTGGGGCTGGAGAGTCAGTCTGCACCCACCAACTTGAAACCCCTTCTCCACCAGCTGTCAACTCCGAGCGGCAATACCGCTGGTCACACCGCTCCAGTGCACCTGGTGACTGCTCAGGTCGCCGACCCTGCCAACACCTCACCGCTCTGACCTGCTCCAGGTGTCGACAACCAGGGAAATGAGTGCGCCTGGGAAACAAGGCTCAGCCCACAAGCGCCTGCGGGGCTGCCTGCTCCCCCTCGGAGCCCCGGGCGGTTTCGGGAATCTGAGGGCAAACACGTCCAGCCTTGGCCTGGCTTCACGCCACACAGCTCAC